GATTCCGAGGCGGCCGAGCAACTGGAAGACGGGGAGGCCAAGGATGAAGAGGAGCCCGATGATGGTTCTATGCTGGTGGGAGGGGGGTGAGATAGAGCAGGAGGAGGGCAATAAGAGGAGAACAGCAATTCCGCGAGAATGGCAGTGGATGTGGGGGGGGGGTGCAGGTCGACGACTGGGCATAGGCAGATCGACAGTTCTGGCGTTCAGGACGGGCTGCCTGAAGCGAGCAAGGCACAACGCCTGAACTGACACAAATGTCCGACAGCCCCCCTGGGGGCGGGCCGGGCCGCGAGTGGCCAGCAGCTGCACTGCCGTCTCTTACTGGTGCCAAATGCCGTCCCTGCTCATTTCCGTCCGTCTCGTGGCCCCCATCTCCGTGCGCTCTGTTCCTCTTCGCCTTCGTGCCTCAATTCGCTTCCGGTGCACCCCACCGCCTGCTGACTGGCGCCTGACTGTCCTGGACCACTTGGCGCCCGCGGGCTTAAAAAACAGTTTCCCATCTCCAGTCCACAGTCGTCGTGCTACCATGAGGGGCGATGAACAAGAAGCGCAGCGGCTGTTCTGGCTACGCCAGGCCGCGGCCACGAACAGGACCCCGACCTAGATCTGAGGAGCGCTCCGAAAGCCACAGCCCCTCCTGAGCCCCAAATTCCTCATCTCAGTCCTGACTGTATCCATCTCAATCACCCTCGTGAGGAGGAAGAGGCGGAGGAGGAGGAGGAGGGGGAGGAGGAGGAGGCGAAGGGGGAGGATGAGGAGGGGGAGGAGGAGGAGGAGGAGGAGGAGGAGGAGGAGGAGAAGGAAGAAATTCGTTGATGTGGGGCAGGACGCCCGTGGGCCAGTCAAGTCAGCCCCTGGCCGCCCTAAGTTGCTTTAGGACTCCCGCGGGGGCGCCACTGGGCAGCCGAGGTGACTCCACGGGCCCAAGACGGCCCAGAGTGACCTCAAAGCGCCAAGAGGGACCGACGACGTTCCGAGAAGGCAACATATCGTTGAGAAGCCAGAGGCGTTTCGAAGTTTTCTGATTGTGGCCTGCTTTGCTCCCGAACTGTCCCAAGATTTCTGCAAGATGGCCCCCACAGTAGCTTCAAGATTGTTCAGCATGGCCCCCCAGATGGTCCCCAGAGGCCCCATGGCCCAAGGCACCACCAGTGTCGCCCAGGATGGCCCAGCAGGGTCTCCCATTGTCCCCAATAATCCCCGAGAGGGCCCCCAGAGGCCCCAAGACAGCCCCAATGTTGCCCAATCTAGCCCCAAGATGGTCTCCAGAGGCCCAAAGGTGCCCCCTAAAACGCTCCTCGACGGTCCCCAAATAGACCCGTGGGGGTGGCGGCAGAGGGCTCGGCTCTTCGAAGATACAAGTTGTGTGCGCCATGCTCAACATGAACGCAGTGCATGAGCTGGAAGAGGCGTGTTTTTGAGACGCCAGGCGAACTTTCGACAGCCAGCGTGAATATCTGGACGCGACGACCTACACAGACGCACATCACCTGTGATAGTCGTACATGAGCTTATAGCTCCAGGCGGCAATGCTGGCCGAGACACAATTGAGCACTATGGAACACACCTGTGGACAGAGGCACACGCACATGAATCGGCACGACAGCTTGGAAGCGAATAAGGGGGGTGCAATGTCACAGGAGCAAACAAGCAAGCAATCCGCCAACCCCTTAGGGTCACGGCGTGTGAGATGCTCCCCCCTCCCCAAACCCCTCCCCCAGGAGCCCTTTCCGGCCGGTTTGGAGGGGTGGGTGGGGGGGGGGAAATATGTTAGGTGCGCCCTTGGAGCCTCAGGGGGCCCCAACACGGGCCAAGAGAGTTCCGAAACGCCCCCCCAGACGGTCCCAGAGGGCTACGAGTCGCCGAGAGGTCGCTCCCAGACGCCCAAGATTGCCTCCAGACGGCCCCAGAGGCCCCTAAGACGCCCCAAGAAGCCACCAAGAGGCGCCCCAAGAGGCCCTCAAGAAGCAGAACTCGTCCCATTCCCGAGGGAAAACCGTACATTTTTTAGCACATTCGCCTCTTGGGAGTTCACGAGACCCACAACGGCCCAAGAAGCCTTCGAAGATCGACCCCAGACAGCCCAGAAGGCCCCCAAGAGGGCTCTAAGACAGCCTCAGAGGGCCCCAAGAGGGTCCCAGAAACCACCACAACGGCCCAGGAGAGCCCCAGGATGGCCCCAAGACGGCCCAAACATGAGCTAAGAGGGTTCCTAAAGGCCTCCTGGACGGTCCAAAAGGGCTGCGAGTCGTCGAGACATCGCTCCAATACGCTCAAGATTGCCTCCACACGGCCCCAGAGGCCCCCCATTCGCGCCAAGAAGCCACCGGGAGGCGTCCCAAGAGGCCCTCAACACGCAAACCACGTTTTATTCTATATGGAAAAGGTGGATTTTCAGCACACTCGCCTCTTGGGCTTTCACGAGGCCCATAACAGCCCAAGACGCCTTCAAGATCGACCCAAGGCAGGCCCAGAGGCTCCCAAGAGGGCTCCAAGACGGCCCAGGAGGGCGCCAAGAGGGCCCCAGAGGCCACCAAAACGGCCCAGGAGGGCCCCAGGACGGCCGTAAGAGGGCCCTCAAAATGAGCCAAGAGGGTCCCACAAGGCCCCCCCGACTGAGGGCTACGACTCGTCAGGAGATCGCTCCAAGACGTCCGATATTGCTCCAGACAGCCCCAGGGGCCTCCTAGACGCCCCAAGAAGCCACCAAGATGCGTCCCAAAAGGCCCTCAAGAAGCAAACTTCGTCTCATGTCCTAGGGAAAACGTGCATGTTTGGCACATTCGCATCCTGGCCGTCCACGACGCTTACAACAGCCCAAGAAGCCTCCAATATTGACCCAAGATAGCCCCAGAGGCACCCAAGAGGGCTCCAAGACGGCCCAAGGGGTCGGCGGTGCGGCGTAAGCAAATGAACCTATAAATGAAACTTAATGCCACAAGCCGCGTGAAACGCAAAGGTCCAGTGAAACCTACTACAGCAAGCCACGCGCCACGCAAAAGGCTTTACTCTGGGAACTCCCGCCCCCTGCCCACTTGTGGTCTGTCTGTGTCTCTGTCTCTCTGTCCGTCTGTCTGTCTGTCTGTCCGTCCGTCCGTCCGTCTGTCTCTGTCTCTCTGTCTGCCTGCCTGCCTGCCTGCCTGCCTGCCTGCCTGCCTGTCTGTCTGTCTGTCTATCTGTCTGTCTGTCTGTCTGTCCGTCTGTCTGTCGCTCTCTCTTCCCCCTTTCTCGTTCTGAGTTTATCGCGATCTCCATTATCCCACGCAATGAAACTGACACAGATGGTGCCCACAAGGAGGGGCGCCCCCAGCGCACCCTCCACAATGAAACTACGACGGATCTAGTGACCTCTCCTGGACGCATCCTGGGCCTCCTGCATCTCCCAGAGTGGCTCGGCAACCCAAGAGAGCACCCATGGTGATATCCGCCACCTGTCTGGCAAAGTTTCTGTATATCCACATTCTCCTGTGTTGGGTCTTCGTTGTGACTTCGCAACGCCGCGCGTCTCCTCCTTCCCCTTTTCCTCCTCCCCTCCTCCTCCTCCTCCTCCTGCTCCTCCTCCTCGTCCTCGCCATCATTCCTCCGCTTCCCCCTCCTCCTGCGCCTCCTTTTTCCTCGTCGTTCTCTTCCTCCTTTCTCCTGTCGCTGCCGCTCCTCGTTCTACCCTTCCCTCCTCCCATCGCTGCCGCTTCTGCTGCTTTTGCTGCAGTCTGTTCCGCACACCCCTCACGCGTTTCCTGCACCCACAGGGGGCTCCACCCATGGCCCCGATGGGCTTGCTCGCATGGCGCCCCCCCGCCCATGTCGGCACACCCTCCACACGTTTCGTGTCACACAGGGAGCTCCGCTCGTGGCCTCAGTGGGCGTGCTCGTGTGGCGTCCGCCCGCCCTTTTCGCCACAGCAGGCAGCTGCACCTGTGGCCTCAGCGGGCGTGGTCGCATGGCGCCCCCCGCCTACTTTGCCACACCCCTCACAAGCTTCGTGCCCAACAGGGAGCTGCACCTGTGGCCTCAGTGAACGTGCTCGCACGGCGTCCCCTTGCGCCCATTTCGCCGCACTCCTCACACGTTTCGTGCTCCACAGGGAGCTCCGCTCATGGCCTCAATGGGCGTGTTCGCATGGCGTCCTCCACCCATGTCGGCACACCCCTCACACGTTTCTTGCCCCCCCCCCCCCTGGTAGCTCCGCTCATGGCCTCAATGGGCGTGATCGCATGCCGCCCCCTTGCCCATTTCGCCACACCCCTCACACGTTTCGCGCCCCACAAGGAGCTCCGCTCATGACCTCAACGGGCGTACTCGCATGGCGCCCCCCTCCCATCTCGGCACACCCCACACACGTTTCGTGCCCAACAAGGAGCTGCACCTATGCCTCCCCGCTTCCGTCTGACCTCCGTCTTTTCTCCTGCCTCCTCCCTCCGCAGTCCTCCGCAATCCTCCGTCCTCCCCTCTCCCCCTTGCCTCTTCACTCCTCCTCCTTCCTTCTCTTCCTTTTCGTCCTCGTCATTTTTTTTTTCCTCCCCCTTCCCAAGAGCAACGAGTGGGATGCGCCACAGGGTGGCGCAATCGACGGGGGCTCAACGTGGGATCAGAGACGGCGGCGGGAGGGGAGGCCGAGAGGGGAGATGGCAGGAGGACGAGAGAGAAGGAGGCCGAGGATCAGGAGGGTTGAAGAGAAGTCGGGCAATCAAGGCGAATCTGAGGGGGATGGTACATGTAGAAGATGGAGCGAGGGAGGACAGATGCGGGAGACATTGGGGGGAGGGAGGACGAACAGGAGAGGGAGAGGGAAGAGAAGGCGAATGATGGAAGGACGAGAGGAGAGAACGAGGGACCAGGGATAGAGTGGGGGAGGAGTTCGGTGGAGACAGAGGACGATCAACGGGGAGGAGGCGAAGACAGAAAGAGACAGAAAGAGAGAGAGAAGGCGGAAGCGGAAGGCGAACTCAGGGGAGATAGGGAGCTAAACAATAAATGACCCCCCCCGCACGGCGCCGCTAGCTCGAGCGTATGCGCGACAAGAACGAGAGCGCCACGTCTGACGACGCGTCGCTCTTTCTCGATGACCTGCCCCAGCCCCATCGCACCGCCAAACCCAAGTGGGCAGCTCGTAGGCCCCACCCTCTCGCTCTTTCTCCCTCTCCCCCTTTCATGCGCGCGCGCTCTCTCTCCCTCTCCCTCTCTCTCTCTCTCTCCCCTCTCCATATCTCCCGGTCTCTCTCATTGTTTTTTGCTTGTTTTTCTTACATCTGTAGCCGCTGGCCCGAGCGGCTTCAGGGACTGCAAGCGGCCCCCGATCTGCTGCCCTCTGTGCCGAGGGGGGGGGCGGCACATGGCGCGGCCGCAGGGGCAGCTCCCGCCCTGGCCAGGGGCTGCACCGATTGAATCAGATCCGCCACCGCGCCCTGAGCACGCACGGTGAGGGCGTTGGCTGAGGAACCGTTGAAGAAGGCATCCAGGGTCTGAAAGTGAGTGGATCGCCAATCGTGGATTGGCCATGGGAATCCGCCAGGGTCTGCAGCCTTCTTAACCAGCGCTCCCACCGCAGTGGAGTGCCCGAAGGCTCCTGCAAGTGTGCGTCGTGCAGGGACTCTCGGCGTATCTGCCCAAATCTCTTGGGCGTGCCCGGGGTGTGCCGGCGCGCGCCGGGCGAGCCTCAGGGGCCCACAGGCGGGCCAAAGGGGCCCCAAGAGCCTCCCAAGACGGTCCAAGAGCAGCCTCTTCGACCTGCTGATCGTTGACCCGTTCCAGGTCTCCTCGGCGCTCTCGCACGCGGGGGATTTCTACCTCAGGCCCAGCTACTGCCAAGCGGGCGCCACCGCCACGGTGATCCTTGGCCCAACCTGTTCTGGCCCGCGTTCGTCCATGCGGCGGCGCCGCCAGAGGCTACGCGATGACAGACCACGGCGATCGCAGGGTGGCTCCCAGAGTCCCTGGTATACTCCAAATGACGCCAAGTGTTGCTTGCAGCGAGGCTCCAAGATGTCACAAAGAAACTTCTAAGCAGTCGCAAGACTGGCTCTGAGACGCCACGGAAGACCCAATCTTGCCCAAATTGGTTCCAAGGTGCCCCCAGAGGTCTCAATGCGCCCCCACGGTCGCCCACATGGCCTAACAAAGCCCTAAGATAACGCCGACATGTTCTATGACCGTTTCCTGGACTTACTCACGTGTCCGTCTCCCTTTCCGTTCAAAATCCATCACATACCCGGTCGCCCCCAAAACTCCATTCCGTCTCAGTTACATGCGGGGGACGATGAGGAGGGAGGAAGCGGTAGGATAATACGGAGGAAGAACATGAACCTGTCGCTCATACACCGTCTGTGAATCTGATAGTTGTGGCACATTCTCGCAACAATGCCCTTGCGACGTTTCGTTTCCACAGGGACGCGTCAACCCGTCGAGAATTTGGAAGTGCTGGACTGAGTGCCGAGGGAGACTTCTCAGTCCAGCTGGGATGCGTCAATTCATTGACCCGTTGCCAATCTCCATGGGCCCGGGCCACAAATCCATTGGAGGTGGGCCAGCGGCAGAATGCGCAGCTCTTTCAACGACCTGAGAACTCAGGCGAGTCAGGGTCATACTGATAGTGCTTCTGCTGCTGCCTGCCTTTTGCCAATGCTACGGCCCATTTCCACTACCTCTGAGACGTCTTCGACAGAGGGAGCCAAACACTGACTCAGGGAGGGGGGAGGGCAGAACAGTGGCGGGGGTGGAGGCGGAGGGAGGGATCTGGTGCCGGAGAAGGAGGAGGAGGAGGAGTAGGAGTAGGAGGAGGAGGAGGAGGAGAAGGAGGAGGAAGAGGAGGAGGAGACGGAGGAGGAGGACGAGGAGGATGATGAGAAGGATGAGTGTAATTATCCAGGCGAAAGGCCTAACCATATGCACTTGTGAGTATCCCCGTTGTGGGTATCGCGTTCGGTGGATCTCTTTATGGGGCCACGAAGCGTGTAAAAGGTGTGCCGAAATGGAGCGGGGCCGCCATGCGAATATCGCCACTGGGGCCTTCGATGGAGCTCCCTGTGGGGCCACGAAACGCTGTACTGACTGGGGGAGACGCATGCGAACATCGCCACTGGGACCTTCGGTGGAGCTCCCTATGGAGCTACAAAGCGATACACTGGGTGGGGGAAACACATGCGAACCATGCCACTGGGGCCTTCGGTGGAGCTCCCTGTGGGGCCACGAAACGTCATACAGGGAGGGGGGCAACGCATGCGGACACCGCCACTGGGGCCTTCGGTGGAGCTCCCTATGAGGGCACGACGTGTTGTACTGGGTGCGGGAAGCGCATGCGCACTCTGCCACTGGGACCTTCGGTGGAGCTCCCTATGGGGCCACGAAGTGTTCTACTGGGTGGGGAAAACGCATGCGCACACCGCCACTGGGGCCTTCGGTGGAGCTCCCTATGGGGTCAAGAAGCTCTGTACTGGGTGGGGAAAACGCATGCGGACACCGTCACTGGGGCCTTCGGTGGAGCGTCCCGTAGGGCCACGAAACGATGCACTGGGTGGGGGAAACGCATACGGACACCGCCACTGGGCCTTCGGTGGAGCTCCTCTCATATGAGGGCACGACGCGCTGTACTGGGTGCGGGAAGCGCATGCGGACACTGCCACTGGGGCCTTCGGTGGAGCTCCCTGTGGGGCCACGAAGCGTTATACTGGGAAGGGGCAACGCATGCGGACACCGCCACCGGGGTGTTCGGTGGAGCTCCCCATGGGGCCGCGACGTGTTGTACTGAGTGGGGTGGGGAGCACACGAACCATGCCAATGGGGCCTTCGGTGGAGCTCCCTATGGGGCCGCGAAACGGTGTGATGGGGGGGGGGCAAACTGGAGGTGGGGGGGGGAGGGCGGCATGCGAACCATGCCAACGGGACCTTCGGTTGAGCTCCCTATGGGGCCACGAAGTGTGCGAGGGGTGTGTCGAAATTGAGGGATGGGGCGGCGTGCGAATCATGCCACTGGAGCCTTCGGTGGAAGTCCCTATGGGGCCACGAAGCGTGTGAAGGGTATACCAAAGTGGAAGGGGGGGGCGGCATGCGAACCCTGCCACTTGGGCTTTCGGTGGGGGTCCCTATGGGGCCACGAAGCGTTTGATGGGGGTGTGCCAACGTGGAAGAGGGGCGGCATACAACCATGCCACAAAGGCCTTCGGTTGAGCCCCCTATGGTGTCGCGAAGCGCTGTGCTGGGTGTGCAAGGTGGCGGGGGGGGGAGGCGGGGGGGGGGGGGGGGGCGGCCTGCGAACCATGCCGCTGGGGCCTTCGGTGGGGCTCCCTATGGGGCCACGGGGCGCGAAACAGATTTGCCAACGTGAGGGGCGGGGGGGGGGGCGGGATGAGGGAGGAGCGGGGGAAGGATGAGGAAGAAGAGACGCAGTGACTCTCTTCAAAACGAGGACCTAACACCACAGGATGGTAAAGACAAATGATGATGCAGGTGAAGAAGACGAGACGCAGGAGTTGCAGCAGCTGGAGGATGCTCTGGCGGGGAGGTGGGAGAAGAATAAGAAAGGGGGAGTTGAGCGAGGAGAGAGGTGTGGGGTTGGATGGTCAGATAGAAAATGAGACGGGGGAGGGGCTGGAGGAAGGATGGGGAGGCACATCATGCTTGGACGTCAGCGTCATGGGTGTTATACAGCTGAGCCTGGGAACACAACGCCCACTGACCAACCTCCAAAATGACCTCGGGGCGTTCGGGGTGGCCGTCTTTGCGCCGCGGTCCCCAACTGTTGTAAATGGTGGGCTTTGTGGGGCCTTTGGCCCCCCTCCGCCAATCGAGCCACTCGTGCGTGCGACGAGTGGCGATGGCACCTCTTGCGTGCCACGCGTGAAGCACAATCAGAACATGCTGGCGTGAGACACCTGTCTCCTTCCGCCTCGCAAATTCGCGGGTGATCCTGGGACTGGGTTGTGGCGGGCTGGGGACGGAGAAGGACCGTGGGTTGGCGACTTGCGAAAACTTGGATCATGCCAACAGGGCGTGCCATACGCCTCCAAAAACGCACCACCACAGACATGGGGATGGGTGGGCACACGGGGCGGCTTCTCCCGTGCAACATCCTCGAAATCAAAACAGGGCCACTTGGGCAGCCGCTTGGCAGCCACTTGGGCCGCCGCCCGACACGTGTGGATATCCAGGTCGGGCCTCGCAGCGTCCTCCTCGAAGGCTGGGGTGACGCGATGCCCTTGCCCCGCTGGCGTACTCTTGGCGCCGATGTTGGCGACGCGATTGCCGCGGCGGCACGTCTTGTCCTGGGGCGAGGTCCAGGCGTCTATTTTTTTGTTTTTGTTTTTTTGGTAGTTGTTGTTTTTTTTCCTCCGTCTTCCCCGCATCGCCCGCGAACGGCGGCGATCATCCAATGTATCAACGCTTTGGTGGCTGCTGCTCTGTGCGAGGCCGCCGAACATCAATGTGGACGTCAAAAAGCTCGAATGCAGCTGCCTGACATATAACTGCTGGCCCGCCAGGGCGTGCCGTCTGTGGATGAATAGGAAGCGCGGGGCCGAACGACCTGCCGCGTAGTTCTGTTTTGTCGCCCACATATACAAATCGCCAACCTGCTCGGCAGAGCTCTCGCGCAATGTTCAGCGACGCTGTCATCCGTTGAAGTGTTGGCTCGGAAACAAAGGCGCTTGGATGTCCAAGGGAGTCCCATCCTTAGCCCCTCTCGGCCATGCAATTGGCAAGACGCCTCGGGCGCGGCCCAGGAAAATCATCCCCGCGGTGAGCAACGCCCCCAACACAATACATGACAAACTCAGGCTCCTCCGAAGCCTCGGCAATGACGCCGGGATCCACGGGGCTATCGCGAAGCTCTAGAGACTCATGCCGGATGCAGACCAGGAGGCGGTGGCGGAGTGTGTCGGCCTCAGAGCCGCAGAAGAGGGCATGTGGGTATATCTGGTATCCCAGCTAGAGGGTCCCAGGACGGGTCCGTATACCGTCGGTGGCAACATCTCGAATGCAATCTTCTTCGGACGCAGAATGTCGTTTGCACCGAAGCTCGGCCTTCACTGCGCCGAAATCGAGGCGTTGGACACAGTCCACTTCGAGCCTGCTTC